GGACTTGAAGACAAGACATAGGGAAAGACATCTCAAAGTACAGGCAGCATGATCAGGGTGTGGAGGCAGGAGAGACCATGGTGTTCTCAGATAAGTGAACATACCTTAATTGGGGTGTGAGAGGATGGAGGCCCTGTAGTTAAAGTCATGGGCCCTAGATTCTTGGTGTGTGTGTGCGCACACGCGCGCATGGTCGCACTGGTACTGGGACTTGAACTTGGGGCCTGGGCTCTTTCGCTCAACGCTAGAGCTCCTCTACCACTTGAGCCACAGCTCCACATCTGGCATTTTATGGTTAACTAGAGATAGGAGTCTCATGGACTTTTCCTGCCCTGGCTGGCTTTGAACCTTGACCCTTAGATCTCAGCCTCTAGTATAGCTAGGATTATAGGCATGAGCTACCAGCACCAGCCTTGGGCCCTAGATTCTGAGGATCAATTCTTGCTAACAGTGCAACTTTGGTTTGGGCAAGTCCCCTGACCTCAGTGCTCGCTCTTTCACAAAAGGGATGAGTAGATGAGTGTCAATGTAAATCTTCTATTTAGCACGATGTCTGGCACAATGTAAGCATCTAATAATAAAAGCTATTTATAATGGCAATTTCCGGGCACCCAAGAAGCACAAGGGGAATGGATGGAAATGCTAAGCAAAGGTCTAGAAAAAGGAGGCCAAAGACTCCCAAATTAAACCTTCTCTATTTTCAGATGTGCCAATAGCAGAACACAGCTAAAAGGGTGATATCTAAGGAATGCAAAGGAGTGTGGAGAAAATTCTGTTTCCCAGGTATGAGGGGCTCTAGTCCTGAGAAACAGAATTTTTCCTATGAGAAAAACCAGTGAGTAGCCAAAAACTGGCTTCTATCGCAGTGAGGCCACTCGACAGGACAAGTGGGCAAGCAGATGCCATTCTTGACCCTGTATCCTGGCCTGCACAGATGTCTCAGAAGGTATTGCTAGGCACAGGGCAGACGGAAAAAAAGGCCAGGCAGGTCAGATGGACTCCAACACTTCAGGAACAATACTAAGCTAGCTTCTTACGGGCAGTATTTTCATATGGGTGTGATCTGATGCTGAGGAAGCTACGGCCAAGGCCCCGGGAAGGGGGGCGGGGCTGAAAGCAAAGCTGAAGTCAGGCACCAGTGGCTCACACCTATTAATTCTAGCTATTCAGGAGGCTGAGATCTGAGAATTATCATTCAAAACTAGTCTGAGCAGACAAATCCAAGAGATCTCATCTCCAATTAACCAGCCAAGAGCTAGAAGTAGAGGTATGGCTCAAATGGTAGAGTTCCAGCTGACCAACAGAGCAAGTCTCAGACTTCAAGTTCCTATACTGAGGGTAAAAAAAAAATAAAGAAAACTATAGCTAGGGCTATAGTTTAGTAATAGAAAGCATGTTTAAGGCCCTAGGTTCAGCCCCCAATACATACTATGCACACATGCATAGGCATATATACACATGTTCAGAATCTAGGGTGAGTCAATTGGTAGGTGCTACAATACAAGGATTATGAAACAAAGGATTCTCTTAATAAGCTCAGGAATTGTTTTCAGGGAGAGTATGAGATCTCAAGATTTTAGTCCTACATAGATTACAGGGTTACAGGGTTACTATAAGGGTGACTCCCTAGCTGGTACAGTGGTACAGGCCTATAATCCCAAGGCTATTCCCTCTTGTGCTGTCTTTAGTGACCTCCTGGAGGTCAGAGCTTCCCCCAACCCTTCCACATTCTCTTTAGGAGGAATGCACAAAGACAAGGAAAAACAAAGAGGAAAGGAAGAGATAAATGGCATCTTCCAGTTGTCTTTTGAAGCGGTGTTCTGAATGTTACTCCATACTTTCCTTAATCTCATTGGCTACAAGTTAACCCAAGGCCAGGCCTGGCTGCAGGGAGGCTGGGAAATGTAGTTTGTAGTCAAGCACCATTTGCTCTGCTAAATCAGGGGTGGGGTCAATAAAGAATATGAGCCTGGATATTGAGGAACCACTGACTCTGTCACACATAGATCATTAAAGTCGGCACCAGTTTAAGTCAGCTAATACAAATCTAGTTTATATTTGGATAAGAAATCTGTGCTTCCATAGTGACAGCACCAAAAAGGTAGTGTGAAAGTCATAACTGCTGTAGGAAATGGCCTGCATTTAATCCTATTCTAAAACCAAGGAGTACATAGAAGTGCTGCAGGCCTATCTTTTGACAGATGAGCTTTTTATGGCTGAATTTTCTAAAGTAGAGCCCACCAGGGAGGCAAGAAGTTGACTTACCTTTCTAGCAGCATGTGCCTTGTAAGGCTGCTGTTAACGTATGGGGAGTGTGCTTTCAGGGACAGTGTTGCAAATTAGCTGAAAGATGAATCTTAAGCAGAGAGATAAAATAGATTTCATTTTAGGCTTTTGGCCAAACAAGACACATAAAGACTCTTTAAACGTGACTGGCCTGTAAGTATACTAGGCTCTCTCCCTATTAGTGGGCTCAAGACTGGGACTGAAACAAAAGTCTGACTCGTACAGGAACACTGTGATCCCTTCAGCTGTCCACTTAAGAGGAGGGACCAAGCCTGGTGCCGGTGGCTCACGCCTGTAATCCTCGCTACTCAGGAGGCTGAGATCTGAGGATTACAGTTCAAAGCCAGCCCGGGTAGGAAAGTCCGTGAGACTCTCATCTCCAATAAACCACTAGAAAACCGGAAGTGGCGCTGTGGCTCAAGCGGTGGAGTGCTCACCTTGAGCTGAAGAGTGCAGGGACAGCACCCAAACCCAGAGTTCAAGCCCTGCAACCTACCGAAAAAAACAAAACCAAACCAAAAAAAAAAAGAGGAGGGACCTTCTGTGGCCCCCATGAGCCCATTCTTCCAGAGCTGTCAGCAGTGGGCCCTATTTAAAGGGAGCAGGGAATCTCCAAGGAATGATTGGACCTCAAGATGGGAAGTTTTAAGCATGAGATCTTACACATGTGAGATATCTACCTGCAATTAGCTATATTTTCAGCATTGAGGGTTTGTCCTAGGGATCATGAGGAAAAACCCATAGAAATAAGTCCATGGTCAGGTTAATAAACCCTATGTAAAACAGTGACAATTAAGATGACTAGTTGTTTTAGAGGGTCAAATAGTACATTGGGGAAGGCTGCTTGACCACTTCAGAGAGAATGAACATGGACTGGATCATGAGGATTCCATCTCAGAGAGCGAGTGACAGACAGAGAAGCGGAATCTGTTGGCTTGGGACCTGCCATTCACTGAGCTGAGCTGAGCTGAGAAGTGAGCTGTTCATTTCTATCTGAGTGAGATGGGCCTACTTTCATGCCAAAGAGAAAGCACTGGCAGTCAGAAGCTCTTTCAAAGATACAAATTAAGCAACTTACAGCTGGATGCTAGTGGCTCGAGTCTCTGTAATACTAGCCACTTGGGAAGCTGAGACCAGGATTGTGATTCAAGGCCAGCTTAGATAGAAAATCCAGAGACTATCTCAACGGAAGGGATATAGTCTTTATCTTCCTAGCTATGGTGGCAAGCCTAAAACAGGCACATCATAATCCAGGTATGTGTTTAGGCAAGAAGTGAGACCTCATCTGAAAAATCAGCAGTACAAAAAAGGGGCTGGAGGTTTGGATCAGCAAAATACCTGCCTAACAAGTATAGGTCTGAGTTCAAACCCCAGTCCTACCTATCACCCTTCCCACAAAAACCCCCAATCTTTACAAGTATATTTTCATTTTTAAGCACCTAAGAAGGTTCACAAATAACTATAAAATGCTATTATTTTCATGCAAAACTGTGTAGGTCTGAAACTTCTGGATTAGAACTCACTATACACTGAATGTCTTAAACTTAGTATAGTCTTGGTTATCTTTTATCCAAGCTGGTAAGAGTGAACCGTTAACTGGTAAATGGAAAACAAGTTAAACTATGAAAATCCATAGGCACAGGGCTATATTGTAAAGTAATTTAGAAATTGACTTTAGTGGAAACAGATGATGTATTAAGAAATCTTTGCAATACTTTTAAAAGTACTTTTTTTTTGCCAATTCTAGGGCTTGACCTCAGGGCCGGGGCACTATTTCTGAGCTTTTTTGCTCAGCTAGTGCTTGAGCCAGTCTCATTTTTGGCTTTTTTCTTTTGGTGCTTAATTTGAGATCAGTCTTAAGAACTTTTCTGCCTGAGCTGGCTTTAAACCATGATACTCAGATCTCAGCCTCCTGAGCAGCTAGGGTTACAGGCGTGAATCACAGGTGCCTGGCTTACTTTTCAAGTACTTCTACATGATTTCAACATAAATGCTTAGTTTTCTTTTCTTTTTTTTGGGGGGGGGTCCAGTCGTGGGGCCTGAACTCTGGGCCTGGGCGCTGTCCCTCAGCTCTTCAGCCTAAGGCTAGCGCTCTACCACTCGAGCCACAGCGCCACTTCCGGCTTTTTTCTTTTTGCTTATGTGGTGCTGAGTAATCGAACCCAGGGCCTCAGGCATGCAAGGCAAGCACTCTACCACTGAGCCACCTTCCCAGCCCAGGAGTAGTTTTCTGTTGGGAAATATTTCTATACTGACATCCTTTTTCACTTAAAATTCTAAGAGAGTCATCTTGAATTAATAGATTTAAACTTGAATAGTAACCCTCCACCAAGGGTAGCTGAGAACCTCTCCCAGAACCTCAGTCACTTGAGTCATTTTGTAACTCCTGGGCTTCCCTGGGAAGGTAGTATTGCTGGGGGAATTTTCACTGAGTTCTGGAGTAAATGATTATTAGACTCTTGCAAGATACTGGATTTAAAAATGTTTTAGTGCCACCCAGTTCAAGCTTAAAACTGAACACTGAAAGTGTTTTAATCTGTTAGCATGTCCCTGAAAACCTATAAAAGCAGACTTGGAGAACAAATAGGGTTGGGAAGCAAGTGTGGCAGTGGCAGTATGTGTGTGTATGTGTTGAGCAGAACTGAGTAGAAGACCTAGGTTTTTAAAAGCTCATTACCTTTCTGCCCCATCCTCTTCATGTCTTTCATCCTTAGGCCTGCTCTGCCTGAAAAGAAGATGGCTGACCTCAGTACTCTGAATGAAGTGGGCTATCAAATCCGAATCTAGTAGCCAAGCCATACTGGCCAGCAAGAGTTTCTGTGGTGCTTTTTTTCTGCACTTTACCCAGCATCTTCAGGAGGAACTGCAATTATTTATTAAGAGCTTGGGGATTTTATTTTTAAGGATTCACCTAGAAACAGAATCTGAGTGAATGGGGACATGATTAGCTTTAAACAAAACAAACTCCTGAAGAGGTGACCAGGATAAGGCTAAAGTCATCAGCCCCACAGGGCTGCAGTTTCCTTCACTCCAGATCTCAAGGATAATAAGCATTAACTTTTTAGTTTTTTATTTTCCTATTTGCCTACTTTTACTTGCTCTGGATATTATGCTTCACCAGTAGTCAATGTTCATAAACTTCTCTCCCTTTTTTGGGTATAGTAAGGTAACTCAGTCAGTATTACCTTCTTTTTCAGCAATAATGGAAGCAAAGATGGGTGTTTTTTTTTTTTAAAGCAGTTAATATTACCTCAGCATTTTTTTACATCAGATATGCAAATTTAATGGCATTTTGGTTTTTTATATTCTATTTGTATTGTTTCCCCAGTATTTCCCATGGGGAATCTCCATTGCTTGGGAGTTTTTTTTCCTGATGCACGTGATGAGAGTTAAGGTATTATATGCAAGTGTTTTACTAAAAAGCACTGAAATTCTTTTGGCAATACGGGACCCATTTTTAGGATCTTATAGTCTTTTTTACAGTATTCACTGACAGCAGTTTTTTTGTTCGTTTAAAACAAAACAAGCACTTCAGACATTAGTCTACATTCTGTCATTATGTTTAAACTTTGTGGAGTCTTAGCTAGCTAAAAGCACAGGAGGCCATGCCCTTCTTACTTAGCAGGATCTTATCTGTCAGTCAGTCAGAGAGGCAGACACCAGGAACAAGGCAACAAGTTGTAAGAAGTAGATAACTTTTCTGTTCACATTTTAACTGATTTTAAACAGAATCAAGCTTTGATTCTGAAGCACTCACTGATAAAGATGTGTTCTGACATCTTATATTAAGCCCAAAGGTGATAGGAATGTAGGATGTGATGATTTTCTAGTACCTTGCTTTTAGGTACATTTCATGGAATTTAAGAAGTATTGGAAAATAGAATAAATTATAAAAAGTAGAAACCTTTTTTTTTTAATGGAAAAGTCTTCCAGTACAGTATTACATTTTATGGTGTGATCTATGAAGTTACAGTGTAACTCCTGGTTGCAGACCACACAGGGTAACTAAAGTAAACTGTATGTTATATAAGTATCAAGAGGAGAGCTTCTATTCTGCTTCATTTGTTTTATCTTTTCAACCATGTCAACTCACAAGACCAAAGGACATACTTAAGGAAAGTCTGCTGGTCCACAAAAGTGCTTTGCCTCTGGCTTTAATAAAAGTGGTTACAGGAAGGTGGTTAAAAAAGAAAACTTTTGGAGTGACAAGGAAAGTAAAAGGACTTAATGTGTCAGTTAGCTATGTGCACCAGAGCTGGCTCTAATCTAAAAATCAGTTGTGTTAGTAAAAGCACTTATTTTCTTGAAGGAAATACTACGTCCTTTAGTGCATTACAGTCCTTGTCACAAACTAAAATGCAGCATAAATTTAAAATTCTGAACTTAAATCACTTCCTTGAAGTATTATTAGAGTTTAAAGTGGGTTAGGAGGGCATGGGGTGTAGCTCATAGTAGGATGCATTCGTATCATGTTCAAGGTCCTGAATTTCGTGTCCAGTATCCCATCATTTCTAAAAATAATGTTATCTTTGTACATCTTTGCATGGTAAACATATCTGCAGCCTCATGGCCAATGCATTTAGATGTTCAGTAGCTAGTGAATCATTTCATCCTTATTCTGAAACAATACTGACTCAGCCATTTATCTTGTTTATTCATTTGAAACTTACAATATCCAGTAAATACAATAAATAAAATGCCACAACTATCCTATGACCAAGTATTACCTAAGGAGAGATGATCCCATCTAAAACAGATGGTTGCATAGCCTCTAAACTTCTAACACAAGAAAAGAGACAAGCAGTATGAAACTGTTCCTAATAGTCTTAATGTATAATTTAAAAACTGCCAGCTGGCTTGATGACTTAACTAGTGACTTAATTTCTTCTACACTTACTTTGTGGTGTTTAGATTCATTTTCCAAAGCAACCATTAAATCACCAAAACACTGAAAAACTGTTCATGCTCAACACTGTTTTGTTGCTTATAGGACACGCTAATTTCTAGAAGACATAGGAAAATTCCTAAACTTCTAAATTCTAATGTAGTAATTAAAACAGTAACATGGAAAAATAAACCCAACATTATACCATTTACAACTAATTTTAAGAACTCAAATTATAATAAAACCATGAAATAATTCAGGATCTAATTGTTAAAAAAGTCCAAGAGAAAGTTTATGTGTAAGATTGTCATGGCAATACAAGCAAAGTTTAAATGAATGACAGAAAATTTGAGACTATACATTGTGCTGTTTTGAGTACACTTTATTTCAGAAAGTGGTATTTAGTGATATTTACTATTTTCTATACTCACGGAAATCATGAACATCTCACTTTTTCTAAGTCAATTATTTCATAAGGATTTTATTAATAGATATTGATAACAGAACTTTGGAAATCTTAATTCAGTATTCTTACTATACCTAAGGCTTTTGTAAACTATAGTTTTATGTACAATCTTGTACAGTTTTTTTGACATACAATTCAGAATCTTGTTTATTCTCTTGAACTTTGTTCTGGCCAATACATTTTTTTTTAAATCTTTCAGAATAACTGTGATTGTTTTAGTGGGTATTTTTCTAAGTCAATGAAAACTTGTATAATGGTATTTTAGAGAATGCCAGATAAGTGCATGTTTCTAGTTACTGTTTTCTCATCACTTGTATGTTTATAATACAGCATGGAACTTTAATAAAACCATCTGGAAACTTAAAGGGTTGTGTTTCTTCTAAAACCAAAAAATTGTCTGATTTATTATTTTTTTTCTTGTGCTCTTACTACACACTGGACCTAAGTGAGCAAATTTATCCTTCTCTCACCTTACTTCTTTCATAATTTTCAGACTATATAAATATTACTTCATTTTAGTACACCTCAGTTCATTATGTTTGAGCTTTGCCCTAAGTAATAAAGGCAATAAGATGATATAAAACAGTTTAAGATCATGAAACAGGTCAGCTTAAACACCTTAAACATTTAGCAGAAAACTTCATGCACAGATGTATAATAGTTTATTACAAAATTTACAGGTACAAAGTGCAAATGATCTGATGCCTGTTTCCTCAACCATTTAAACTCTTTTCCTTTTCTCCCTGTCCTTTCCCCCTCCCTTCCTTTTTCTTTTCATCCATAAAAGATGAAAAGCAGACAGTTGTTAAATTCCAAAAAAGGACAAATTTCAAATTTGCATATTATATTTTTATGACAAAGTATAGTAAGGTCAGAATTTTATTACTTCACAGTTCTTTGCATTTAAAACTTGTATAGTATAACACTTAAGAGAGATTTGTTTTCTGTGGTTGTTAACCAGATTTTGTTTTTGTCAGGTAAATACAACTCTCCAGTAGAGTTACTGAGTCTACAGGTCAAAAAAGAAAACAGAAGTATGTTAGTATTGTTATTATTTTTGTGTGGAGCTTTTTTGGTAGAGAAAATTACTTTTACCCATTGGCTTCTGGTCCACTAAATAATGCTTCATTTGGTAAGCTAACATAGAAAACAGTTTTACAGATCAACTCTATCATAGTGAAACACATGAAATGGGCTTAAATTCACAATACATTAATCAGAATACAAAAAAATTAAGTTTATACAGGTTTCCAAGGATGCTAGTTTACTAACAATGATCTTTATAATAAAGCCATTTATTAAAAAATTCACTCAATATAGAATAGTTGTTAATGAATCATTTTTCTTTCCCTAATACTACAAAGGGCTAATTGGACTATCATTGTAATTTGATGATGACTATAGCTGTTATTCAAGATATGTAATATTCCACAAACTGAAAAATGTGGACAATCTTGGAACTAGTTAATACTGTAAACAAAATTAAAAGGGAGAAACATTTAAACATATTCACTTAGAACTATTTTTACTAGACATCTTCATAACCCACTTGCCTCTTCTGAGGCTTCTCTTTTATTTAAAAATAATTATAGTAAATGATTCAGTACAAAAGTTTTTTCTTTTTTTCTAAGAGCAGGACTTGAACTCGTTATCTGACACTTGCGCTCATTGGCTTAGAACTCTACCACCTCAGTCACAATTCCAACCCTAAGTACAAAACTTTTTAAAGTTGAAGACTACTGTTTTCTAGTTTAAGAAAAAACATTCTATTAATAAAAGATACTGTAAAAACATTTATAATTTAGTGCAAAATGACTACTTAGTAAAAATGCCTATAATTCCTGATCCTACTATCTTAAGAGCAGAGGAAATTTCCACATTTTGTGCTTGTTTTTTTGTGACTACTTGTATAGAGTCAACTACCAAATTTATGAGATCTGCTTCTAACACTTCATAAAAAAGTGTTAAGCACCTTCTCATGTGAGTATTTCATAAGAAAACACTGAGAAACAAATCATTTAAACCAACAGGGAACACAACAACTTAAGAGTTTCAAGACCTTATGCTGGTATCTTTCACTAGTTTTACTACTTTGTTAAACTTCTAAGGAATAACAAAAATAATCTGAGAGCTGCCACTTTGTTCAAAGACAATTTCCTAATAAATTTCTGCTGAAATGGTTCAGTAAAATAAAGCCTTCACCAACCCAGGGATCTTTTTTTGCAACTGAATGGAAAAAAACAAAACAAAAACAGAAGAAAAGCCTGCCAGGGCAAGGCATAACCCAAGTGTCTGCTGTTCTTGGCTGCTGCTGTCTGCTATAGGGTGGAAAGAATGGGCTTACATGAAGGACCTTGTTTTCTTTTTTCTCGGTCATGAGTCTTGAACTCTGGGCCTGGGCACTGTCCCTGAGCTCTTCAGCTCAAGGCTAGTGCTCTACCACTTGAGCCATAGCACCACTTCTGGTTTTCTGGTGATTAACTGGAGATAAGAGTCTCACTACAGTCCTGCCCAGGCTGATTTTGAACCGTGATCCTCAGATCTCAGCCTCTTGAGTAGCTAGAATTACAGGCGTGAGCCACTAGCGCCCAGCAGTACCTTGTTTTCTTACCAACAAATTCTAGACACATAACAAGGCTCGGGACAGTAAAAAGATGGATTAAACAGTTTTTTTAAACTTAAAAGCATTATCAAGCCCTTCAAAACTTAAAGATGGATACCTATGGATGACCTAATTTCTGAGATGAATGAATGAGAACTCTAAACATAGGGTTCTCCCAATGAAATCAGGCCTTCTGAAAAGGAACCTACTGTGGCTTGCAAAAACTCAGGTACTTTGGATCCTTTATAAAGCTTCCCAAAAACATGAAGTAAACTTCTTTACCCAGAGGGCTAAAGAAGATTCACCACATTGAAATGCTGTTATCAACATTACTAGGATTCAGAATAAAAATATTTAATCTCTTTGATAATAAAGAGTATTTAGATTTCAACTATTAGTAAAAATATTTTTTCATTATTGAAAAAAATACTGTAAACTTGTTTCTTCTGATATGTTTCAAGCATTTAACACAACTTCTTCAGAAAACCCATAGCACAAAAATAAACATGCAAACACTTAAGAGCTTTTCATTCTTTGAACTAAATTTAAAAGAAAATGATAAAGCAGAATCAGAGCTCAAGTCTGAACTTAGCCAATAAAGGCAGATGATCTGAGGAGTTATTTTCATTGGGAAGTCCATTTACAGTCCATAAGTCTTGTTCTGTGAGAAGTGACAGTCTACCTAGAAGTTTCAAGCCACCAATCAAAGAAGTTTCAGCTCCTACATTAAGAAACACATATTTAGTGAAACTGTCCCCAGGTCACTGTAAGTTAATCATGTAAGTCCTCTCTAAACAGGGGAGAAACAGAACTTGACAGTTCTTTAGAAGACTTAATACGCAAGGTTTTAAGATATGGTTAAGGTTTTGAGTCATAGCTGAATTCTAATTTTAGCAGTTTTTGATGTTATTTTTATGTCAGATTTTTTTAAATTTCTGCAAAATCTTTGGAAAATATTGTAATATATAAACATATTAAGATGAATATAAGATAAACTGCCTAAGAAATTTGTCCATCCACCAGCCTGTAATTTTGTAAAATGAAATAGATTCATGTATTAAGTTTAAAGAACAGCAGGTTTTTTTGAATCTTTTTTTTTTTTTTGGTCCGGCTGTGGGGCCTGAACTCTGGGCCTGGGCACTGTCCCTCAGCTCTTCAGCACAAGGCTAGCGCTCTACCACTTGAGCCATAGCGCCACTTCCGGCTTTTTTTCTTTTTGCTTATGTGTGCTGAGGAATCGAACCCAGGGCCTCACGCATGCAAGGCAAGCACTCTACCACTAAGCCACCTTCCCAACCCAAGGACAGCAGGTTTTTTTTAACAAAAAAATGTATTATGAAAACATTTACCAACCACAGCCATTGGGAAGTTCATGAGGTGACTGGAAAAGTATTATAATTCAGTTCTAGAGAATCACTTCTGAAGGGAACAGAAGCATTCTCTTAGTAAGACATCTGAAACGCCGATCTGTGATACTCTACTGCCACCTAGTGTACTTTCACAGGCAAGACAACTCCAGGAAGTTTTGTACAAGCATAGTTTGGAAGGAGTAGGCAATCTCCTGAATGTTACTAATAAGGTAATTCCCAGAAGGAAATAGGGGAGGGAGAGGTAGCACACACAAACTGAAAGGGGGAAAATCAGAGAAAAGGGCTACTATTATGAAAGACTTCCAAGAGTTTTCTGAAAGAGATTTTTGAATTATTTTAAATTTTCTTCTCCACTTAAAATCTTTTGGTTTAGTATACAACTTGACCTTAATTGAGTCATACAAGGAAAAGACAGGCCTATTACAGACTAATATTCCAAGGCTAACATAAACATGTTCTACAATGAAGGCAGCATGCCTTAGTATAACTTAACCACAAAACTCTATGATCATACTTACTATATTCCATTTCTATAATAGAAAACTAAGGTTATGGCAAATAAAAATAAATAGCTATGTGCATATGACCATATAAAAGGATATTTATTGAAATGAACCCCAAGAAACGGAAACAAGAAGTTTTTGATTATACTGTTTCCCTCCCTTCCTTCCTTCCTTCCTTCTCTTTGTTTTATTCCCTTTTGTTGCTGTTTTTGATTTTTGTACCTTTTGTATAAAAGTTTATCTGATTGGGCAAGGGGAAGAAAGCACAGACATGGTGGACAAAGGGTGAACCAATTTATCAGTGATATTAACTAGACACTATGTTGGAAATGAACTATACAACTGGGGATGGGGGAAGGGAAGCCAGAAGGGGAAAATCTGGGAGAGAATGTTGGGGGGGGGCACTGTTCAAAAAGAAATGTACTCATTACCTAATGTATATAATCCCTCTGTATTCACATTTACAGTAACATTCAAAAAATAAAGAAAAATATAAAGCAGTATAAAAGATCTGTAACTCAAGAACTGACTGGATTTGGATGGCAGAACTAAGGACATAACATGCAATAATTTGCTTTATTGCCTCTCTCTGATATATACAGGCAGTTATCTGATTCATTTATATATATTGCCCATCCGTCTACTTAAAACATCTCATCGGCCCTGGGGCTTAAACTCAGGGCCCATGCGCTGTCCCTGCTTTTTCACTCAAGGCTAGTGCTCTACCACTTTGAGCTACAGCAACACTTCCAGTTTTCTGGTGGTTAATTGGAAATAAGAATCTTACCAACTTTCCTGCCCAGGCTAGCTTTGAACCACAAACCTCAGATCTCAGCCTCCTGAGTAGCCGTGAGCCACGGGCTCCTTATAAATATAGAACTTCATCTAGATTTTAGCTAACTTACTCAATTTCAGCCTTGGTTTTTGCCACTGTGTTCTCTAGCATAACTAAGATTACATATAGTCTTTATTTACCTGGCTGCTCAGCAGTGACTTCCTTTTCTGAAGAATAAAAAATGTAATCTACAGTTATGGCACTTCGAGAATGACAGGTTGTTACTTCTGGAATTCCAGTGTCAGGAAAGTAATGTGAATAAACAGATGACAAGCTGAAATGGTGCTGCAAATGTGAAGATACTCTACAATTAAGAAGAAAAAGTAATTAGCATCCATCAGGCTTTTCATGACTTCTATAAATTTGTTCTATTTAAGCTAACTTTGCTTCAATTTCTAGATTATGACCATATATTAGGACATATTTATTTTTTGTTTTGCTTTTTTTTTTTTGCACTGGTCATAGGCTTGAACTCAAGGCCTAGGTACTCTCCTTGAGCTTATTATTATTTTTTTGCTCAAAATTAGCAGTGCTCTACCACTTCAACCACAGCTCCATTTCCTTGCTTTGCTTTGTGAGACAGGATCTCATTTTGTAATCCAAGCTGGGCTCAAATTTGGGAGTGTCTTGCTCTTACCTCCCTAGAGCTAGAATTAAGGTATATACCACCATCCTCAGATGAACAAGCTTTTTTTTTCAATAGACCATATCGTAAGTGTTCATTTATTCATGTAGTGATAACTAAAACCTATTAACAATGCTCTAAGTTGAGGATAAAAGAGCTCAATCAATACACTAATTATAAAATTAAGTATGTTTAAATGTTTGGAAATATCACAATGAAATCCTCCCTATACAGCTAATATATGCTCATTTAAAGACAACAAAAATAAAAAGTACAAAGACTAACATAGTAAATATTTAGTAAGTAGTGCTTGCTAAAATTAAAGACATGGAGAGTCTCTACTTAATATCAAACATATAGCTGGGCCTTGGTGACTCATACCTGTAATCCTAGTTCCTCAGGAGGCTGAGATCTGAGGATCATGGTTTGAAGCTAACTTGGGCAGAAAAGTCTCTGTGAGACTCTTACCTTCAATTGGCCACTCAAAACAGGAAGTGGTGCTATGGCTCAAGTGGTAGAGCACTAGCCTTGAGCACAAAGAGACTCAGGGACAGCGCCCAGGCCATAAGTTCAAGCCACACAACTGAGAAACATGTATTCCCAGACTTACAATTTTTTTTTTTTTTTTGCCAGTCTTGGGACTTGAATTGAGGGCCTGGGCACTGTTCCTGAACTTCTTTTGCTCAAGGCTAGCACTCTACCACTTGAGCCACAGCACCACTTCGGGCTTTTTCTGTGTATGTGGTACTGAGGAATCGAACCCAGGGCTTCATGCATGCTAGGCAAGCACTCTACCACTAAGCCACACTCCAAGCCCTCATTTTTTTGTTGGTATTGGGGTCTTAACTCTGGGCCCGGGTGCTGTCCCTCAGCTCTTCAGCTCAAGGGTAGTGCTTTACCACCTGAGCTACAGTGCTGCTTCTGGCTTTTTCTGCTTATATGGTGCTGAGGAATTGAATCCAGGGCTTCATGCATGCAAAGCAAGCACTCTACCACTGAGCCACCTTCCTAGCCTCCCTTATTTTGTTTTCTAAGAAAATCACCAACATAGCATTCAAAAATGCTATTTGAAATCCTTAAGATTTCTGAAGTTAGATGAACTATTTTTTCTGTTATTGTTCAAATAAATAATTTTCCACCACAGAGACAGACAGACAGACAGACAATCTTGCTAGGTAGGCCTTGAGGGCCTAGAATTGGGTCTACAGTGAAGGCTGGCGTTGACCTTGCAATTGTCCTGCTTCGGCTTCCCAGTACTAGGACAGACACGCTGCCACACTCCACTTGTACTACATCTTAAGACAAATTCTATAATGGCTTACATTTTATCTTGCTACAAATAGTGGTGATGTTATAGGTAAGGGGCAATGATCTTTAGAACATTGTCTATTAACGTAATTTTAGGGATCATTTATGCCTTAAATTTTTTTTTTTGGGTCCAGTCTTGGGGCCTGAACTCTGGGCCTGGGCGCTGTCCCTCAGCTCTTCAGCTCAAGGCTAGCATTCTACCACTTGAGCCACAGCGCCACTTCCAGCTTTTTTCTTTTTTCTTATGTGGTGCTGAGGAATTGAACCCAGGGCCTCAGGCATGCAAGGCAAGCGTTCTACCACTGAGCCACCTTCCCAGCCCCTCCTTAAAATTTTTGAACATTTAAAAAATTCAAGAAATGATAACCAAGGCCAGGTGCTGGTGGTTCATGCCTGTAATCTTAGCTACTCAGGAGGCTGGGATCTTAGGATCACGGTTTAAAGCAAGCCCAGGCAGGAAAGGATGTGAGACTCTCATCTCCAATAAACCACTCAGTAGAGCTGGGAAGGTGGCTCAGTAGGTAGAGCGCTTGCCTTGCATGCATGAGGCCCTGGGTTCAATTCCTCAGCATCACAGATGCAAAAAGAAAAAAAGCTGGAAGTGGTGTTGTGGCTCAAGTGGTAGAACACTAGCCTTAGCTGAAGAGCTGAGGGACAGTGCCCAGGCCCAGAGTTCAGGCCCCACGACTGGACCCCCCTCAAAAAAAAAACAACAACAACAACAAAAAAAAACCACTCAGTAAACCAGAAGTGGCGCTGGGGCTCAAGGGGTAGAGCACTAGGCCTTGCGCTGAAGAGCTGAGGGACAGCGCCCAGGCCCTGAAAAGAAATGATAACCAAACATCTACTAAGTTCCAGGCACCCTTTTAGGTACTGAGGAGATACTCAAAAAACTGTGGCCATTGCTTTAATAAACTCATGTCAAAGAACAAAGAATCCCTTGAAAGTACTCTGAACTTCTAACTTCTAATTTTGTTTTTTATTTTGGTGGTACTGAAAGCTTGAGTTTGCTAAGCAGGTATGCAAGTACTTGAGCCATGTCCCCACCCTTACCAACTTTTGGTATCTGATAACTTTTATTTACTTATATAGCATTATTAAATGCTGAATTCTGAGGATCATAGTTCAAAGCCAGCTGGACAGCAAAGTCCATGAGACTTCTACTTCCAATTAGCCACCAAAAAGCCAGAAGTGGAGCTGTGATTCAGTGCTAGCCTTGAGCAAAGAAGCTCAGGAATGGTGCCCAGGCCCTGAGTCTAAGCCTCAGGACTGGCATGTGCACATACATGCCCACACCACACACACACACATGCACACACACACACACACAAAATTTAACTAGGGCCAGGTGATGTGGTGCACGTCCATAACCTCAGAGCTTGTGAAGTTGACTCAGGAGATCTTGTCAGTTTAGAACAGCCTGAGCTATGTAGTAAGAGTCTTCTTACAATAAACATACATAAAAGTAAATGGATGTCTTTCAAATTGCTATCTTACTATGAAAAATTCTTTTTATAGATAACAACTATACATATAAACACACTTTTTATGTGTGTTTGTGTGTGCTGGTACTGGGTCTTGAACTCTAGAGTTTTGAGGAAACTGAACTCAAGAGATGTTAAATTTCTTGTACAAAAGCAAGTATCTCAAAAAATGCAGTCAGGAGTGAAATTCCTATCATGACGTAAAGTTCAGTTCTTTCTACTAGCATGGACTATCATCATCTTCATTTTGATCCAAGTATATGAGAAGTAATTTTTATCCCATGCAGTCAGGAAATGTCTATTGTTGTTCTTCAGAACTCACTTTTCAGCTGTTACCAGGACGTCAGTTTCCCCCAGCTGTGCTTGAGTCACATCACCATCTGAAAGAAAAGAGAGAAATGTATTAGTCCTATCAGCATAGAGTTCATTCGGTTCTACTTTGTCTGGGTTCTAGCCCTCTTACACTAGAAATGATGCTTAAGATGTATCTAGCTTAGACAGATGCTGAATTAAATGTTTTATCTCATAGTCTAGACTGGAAAAATAAAAGCATTTCTAAGGCAACATGCAAGTAGGTCATGCATAGACAATTCTGGAAGTTTAACTTCGTGTAAACTTGAAATAAAAGTAAGTAACTATATATAGATATGTATATTCCATGAGACATTATCCCTTTGAAAATTTAGTTTTGTCTCAAAAGGGAGAATTATTACCCAGCAAACTGCCAAATGTACTGCAAACACTTACCTGTCTTTTCTACTTTTGACACCTGCTGTACCTCATACACACAGCTCTGTGAGATACCTAGGTTTGGGGGCCAAATGGGCATAGATAAAATTCTTTGTCCCCGTGAAGACTGTTCCTGGCCAGATACCTAAACAAAATTTCAACAGGTGTCTTAAGTGAATAGATTTTATTTATGTACTGAAAAAGTCATGTCTTAAAGGTAATTAAAAACTTATTACCTTTTATTCACTATATTAAATGACTATTTGTGCTTATCATGTTCAAATATAGTTCAGAAAGTGCTTACCATTTTCATGAAATGATGAATCTTTTCTGACATATACTTTTCTTCATTTGAACTAATATTGCCTCTCCCTTTTTCTAGCAGCTATACAGTTCCTAGTACATCAAATACTAAAGGAGTTAAAAATCTTGTACAATTTAAAACTACCATCCAAGGAAATTTTGGTTTAATGTAAAGAACAAATCATCTAAATTAGGCAGAGGAAAGCATAATGAAAATAATGTGGGTAAATTATATACTGAAGAATTAAAAGTTATTATTGTGTAAAGGAGAATTTATATTACTGTTTTGCTAATCATACTGCCCATATCTAGCATTTAAAATTCTACTCTGCCACCATGTAAACAGTTCCTTGAGATACCCATGTTTGTTAGTGATTTTCTTCCTTTTTTTTGACTGACTGGTAATACCTCTAAGCAGAGTGTTTCCATGGATAAAAGGAAAAGATGATATGAAGTCTACTAAGTTACCAATGACCAGTTGTAGGTAAGATAGAATAGTGGATCATGAAGGTTTTCCAACAGCCACCTAATGACTACCCTCACATTATGGTCAATAGAGCAACTACCTAAGAATGATGAAACAAGCACTTACCTTTCCTATGGCAAGTCCTTCATAGTTCAATTTCCCTTCTTTTATGAAACTATAGAGTGGAGAACCAGGAACAGAATTAAAGTCACCACACATAACAACAGGACAGAAGCTGCCATCTTTTTGATGGGCAACACTGGAAATTTCTGCCAACAGCATCGCCAACTGGGTCAGCTTAATATCACCTCGCCTTGGATTATACAATAGATGTGTATTAGCTACACAGATGGAAGAAGTGGAGGCACATGGAATTTTAGGCTGTAGGAGTAAAACTAATCCTATATTATCTCTGTCCAATAGAGGAATATCAGGGCGGTAGAATTCCACTGGATTCACTGATAAAAGTGAAAATTTGGAGTGTTTGAAGCAAATGGCACAGCCATCAGGTTTCCTTCCTGTCCGCATCTTATATTCACAATGATAACCTATAAAAGAGAAATAGATTTATAACAACACATTTGTCAAAATACAGCTCTGCTATTATTTTTGGACAATGTTTAGTAAAGTGTATTCTGCACAACAGAATACAATGCTATTAAGTATTGGAATAAAACACAAAAGCCTTAGGACTATAGCTGGGGACCCAGTTCAATGGTAGAACATTTTCTTAGTATGGGTAAGGCTTGATCCCCAGCACTAGAGGAAGAAAAAAATGACAGGAAAGTATCCAATTTTTTTTCTCAGTTTTTTTCTCCTTTCTTCTATGTTTTTAGAGGGAGTCTAGGTTGGCCTCACACTCCTGATCCTCCTCTATCTCCATTTTCTGAGTACTGATATTACAAATGTGTAGGACTTTATAGTATCCATTTTTGAGCTAGGCAAAACTTTTTTTGGTGGCACATATCTGATATCCCAACACTCAGGAAGTGAAGGTAGGAAGATACAGTTTGAGTATAGCCTACGCCATATAGCAAAACCACCCTAAAAACAAAACAAAATGCTTACACTTGAATCTAACTTGTCTCTTTAATGGCAGATTTAAGTCCATAATATGGGTTATGAGCATTATCACTCTCTCAGTTCCAACATAGTAAAACTTAATCATGACAATGACTATAAGATCTTACAATGGGCTGTCCTCATACTCGACCTATAATCTTTCATCTTTTTGAACTTTTCCTCCTCACTCCATTCCAACCACACTGGTTTTACTCTGCCCTTACCACATTTCAACATCAGAGTCCCGCTTTCTCTGCATCATCTGCAATGTTCTAGGCATGCCTCTTCCTTCACCTCTTTAAGTCTTTGTTGAAATATCACTTTATCTAATCATTGTTTAAAACACTATACTGCTTCTTTTCCAGAAAACTATTATTACTTAATATACTAATTCACTTACTTGTTTTATTGTCAGCTTTTCTCCACTAGCATGTACATTCTACAAGGCAGTACCTGTTTGGCCAAATGCTCTACTTCATTTCCTAGAACAATGCACAGTAAGTGGTAGGGACTCAAATAATATTTGCTGAAGGAATGCAGATTTCTCAAATCTGTGTGACCAGAGATGACCTGTCTCTAAGGTTCTTCACATGGGTTTGTAGTTTTTGCCCATGAGTTACTGGTAGCTCTGCTGATCTCATGGAGCTCAAAAGCTTAGAGATCTAGTGGTGGGCAGAACTATAGCAATTCAGAGAAAGGAAACTATTAAAAAAGGATTCTAATAACCTTACTCTTTGAATTAAAATTATGTCTCCACACAAATTTTCCTACTGAAATACCTCAATCTTGCCTTGATCATTTAAAAGATGTATCAAGAGTTTCAAAATTAAGATTTTTTTGAGGCCATATGTGTCACACATATTTCTTTAGCAAGTTATGCATGAACCTACAAATACGGAGTGACAGAGGGGAGATTAATTGGAATATGTTATAAACATGTATAAAAATGTCACATATCCCCTATAACTAGCTTATACTAATTTAAAAAAAGGTAAATTTGGCTAAAACAGGTTATATTATACCCAGTGACTCCAAACTTGGCCTGATTTCTGTTCCATAATGGTCTTCTTGAACTTCTTGCAAACAAAGAACCTTGGGAGATAAAAATTGGCTCAAATTAAAACATATAGGCACAAATACAAATTTTTTGGTTCTTTCTTTCATCTTTAAGAAACAGGCTTCCAGAATTCCAAAATCAATTTCAACTCAAACACTTAATACACTTTTAATTATGTATACATGGATCTGATTAATGGTTTCAAATATCATCAATCTTAAAATTTCTAACTTTTAGTCACATGGCACTTGCTTACTGTCCTAAACAACCTCCAAAATTTTTTTTTGGCTAGTAGTGGGGCTTGAATTCAGTGCCTTGTACTTACTTGCTTTTTTTGCTCATAGCTGGCACTCTGTCACTTTAGCCATTCCTCCAGTTCCTCAAAGAAATATTTTTAACTTCCATGTCAGGTTATCTTTCCTGAATTTATATAGACACTAGCACTAATCTTTTGAATCCTTTCTTGAGACTGATTTCTTTTAAGAGTAACAGAGAAGTGAGTATGATCAAAGTACATTATGGAAATATCACTGTGAAATCCTTCACTTTGTACAATTAATTTATGCTAATAAAAATTAAAGAGATTGATTTATCTGATTATCATTCAGATAAGAGCTTTATATTATTGAAACAATCCCAACCTCAAAATAATTAAAACCCTTTAGATCCTTTTCAGTGAAATCAGATGACAATTTATACCCATAACCATTAGCAAGGAAGTCGTGTGTGTCATGAAATAATATTCCATCATTATGCTTTAACATCTTCCTTCTTATTCTACAAAGGCACAAATAAAATATTTATCAATTTTTCTTGTGTGAAAAATTTTTTGATGATTATGTTGTACTTACATCTGCATCAAAGTGTTTAATTTCTTTCAGAATGTTGGGAAACCTAAAACTCCAATGTAACACTGGCCGTCGACAGTGTCTGTAAAGGTGAGAATTATCTTCCAATAAATCTTGTGAAAGTATATTATAGGACATCACTGAAAAGTCAAACTTGTTCTCACTGTCTTCACATTTGGGGTCAACATTTTTATCTCCCAGGATGTCCGATTTTTCTTTATTACGGTTACAAATATATTCCCAATTCCTTTTTATTGTGCCTGTTAAAATATATTGGATAAAATATGAAAAATTAATAAAAAGACTACACAGTTCCCAGTAAGAATGTTCTTGCTAGTCTACAAGTAAAATATTTTTCCCAAGAAAATGGTAACATAGCATTGAAATACTACAATGTTGTCAGTAAAATGAGAGACTGATCAAAAAATAGCAAGTTTTAAAGGGATCAAGCAAATCATTCTGGAGACTGAGTAGGTGCTAACAAAGCTAAGACCATAAGGGTGAATAGTTTCTCACTTCCCTATGGAAGTGAGACGTTTAGAAGCTTAATAACCATATGTTGTAGCCATGTCAAAGCTGGCTTTTCAGTGGAATGATTTAATATTGTTATTTTATTTCCTACTAGAAAGATAAAGATCATCAAATGATCAAGTTCTAGAAACAACACTTAAAATTTTGGTTTACATACAAATGAAGGTTGTGGAATAGCAATATGTAAAAGCAGTATTTAATGTCTAAAACAGCAAAGTAGAACAATTTGAACAAAATGAACCTGAGAAATTCTTTCAGGGTAAGAATGTTTTGAAAAGCATGATACTGATCAAGATGTATTATACTCATAAACTTGAATGGCAACTCTTTTGTACAGCTACTTAAAGATAATAAAAATATTTTAAAAAGTTATAAGCAATTGGCAATTTACAACATGTGCTTATTTGTAAAGCAAAAAATCTTTTTATGTAAACCAAAGTCTATGCTATATGCAACTGTTACAAAATGCTAGTCAATGAAATGACTGACAAATCAAGCATACAACAAGCACAAATGTGTCATTATTTATATTCTGCAAACACATCAGAAACCCTTAAAAAGTGATGAATTAAGGATAGAAAAACATGAACTACTACAATTACAGGTAGTCTCAACTCAGAAATGACCACTGCATGTGTGTATGTGTTTATATACATACATGCACCTTTGATCTTGTATCCCATACCCCACCATTAAAGGGATGTTACTGCCACGGAAGCATGAAGAAAAACAGGATGTTTAGCAAACCTATGAGCTCAAGAGGAGAAATATAATAATAATGAGAAAAAAATAGATTTAGAAATAAAATGCCAAGAATGAATACATTATATGAAACGTTTCAGCTCTAGAGTATCTTCCTCGACTCTATAAAAAGATGTTCATTTTTCTTGGATCACAATGCCTAAAATCTTACCAATTAAAAAATTAAGGTTAAATTGTTTTATACACTTATGTATGAAGTAAAAAAAAAAAAGAAAATACATGAAGTTTTTTTTTTGAAGTCATCTGAATCACAGGATTGTGGAAGACTTTTCCAAATCTTCTACAATGATGATGTGTTTACAATCAAAGTATCAATAAGCTATATACAACTGCCAGTAAGTACTAGTCTAAGACACTTTGTGACAGATTAATCAGATTGCTTTCTCAATATTTAACTATCTGATAACTTTTGCATTGAAGGAATAGAAATTTTGACCAGATGATAGGAGATATTTATATAATTAGTGACATCTGAATGGAACAAGGAAAAAAACTGATGATGCCATGAAAGTACTACGAGAAGGGTAAGGAAAAAAGGTGGAAGGAAACAAAACCAAATAAACAAAAGTCCTCAACGATTACAGAATTTTGCTTAGTCCCTGTCCTATGCCCAGGGAAGAAAACGAATACCATTGTTACCCTGCACTTAACATGAAGATTCCTACTGCCTCGCCCGCCCCCCCCCCCCCCCCCCGCCGCCGCAAAAAAGCTCACAACTAAGGCTTCACAGACCTACTTTAAGATTTGTGGAAGACCATTCATAAATTGAAGATTATCTATGATGTTTTAGTCACAATTCAATCTTTTGGTGGTGGTGGTGGTTGGGTGCTTGAACCCAGGGCCTGGTCGCTGTCCTCGAGAGCTTTTTGTTCAAGGGTAGTGCTTTAACCACTTGGAGCCAGAGCACCACTTCTGGTTTTCTGGTGATTCATTAGAGGGAAGAGTCTCATGGATTTTCCTGCCGGGCTGGTTTTGAACCAGGATCCTCAGATCTCAGCCTCCTGAACAGCTAAGATTACAGGTATGAGCCACCAGTACCTGGCTCACAAATCAATCTTTAATCTATGCATTATAAAAGTCTTTATTGTGTAAGCTACCATCATAAATAAAAGCCGTATCCTTTTATGCCTGCCATAGTAAAAAAAAGCAAAAAGCCTAAAGGTACTTCTAGTTCCTATGGACAAATACATAACACGCACATATAGCAGCATATAAATATGTTAAGATTTTTATGGTCCTATGAATGTTTAGAAATTAATTGCTTTAACCATTCCACTTTTTAAGTAACCAGGACCAGGATTATCTAGTCAATACAGTGACTTTCAAACTCCTATAGCTTACAGAATCCTTTGGGTATTGCTTTTGATGTTATTGCATGATGCCCATTTCTAGCATGTCAGGAACTAGGACTAGGATAAAGGGATAAACACACATTTTATCCTGACTGCATTTGCTTTTTTTTTTTTTTTTTGGTCGGTTGTGGGGCTGAACTCTGGGCCTTGGTGCTGTCCCTCAGCTTTTCAGCTCAAGGCTAGTGCCCTACCACTTCTGGCTTTTTTCTGCTTATGTGGTGCTGAGGAATTCAACACAGGGCCTCATGCATGCGAGGCAAGCACTCTACCACTGAGCCACCTTCCCAGCCCCTGCATTTGCTTTTAACAACCATGCATAAATGTGTTCAATGGTAGGGTTCCCTGGAAGACAATTTCAAAACTACTAACAGTGAACAGTCTTTGGCCTTCATATACTTCACAACACAAATTCACACTGCAAAAACTTATATACCTTCCATGTCAGGAGGAACAAGGTGATCACGGCAGAGAAGATAGATGAATCAAAGAAAGTAAGCAATAGGCCTGATCAGTTTTTTTGGGGTGCCTAATTAAAAAGTCACAATTGTGTCACACAAATCCTTCAAATACCACTTTAAAGTGATAGGCAAGTTAGCAATGTAGTTCTCTTGATTGAAAAGTATTAGTGAAATATCGGAAGTCACAAATATGGCTTAACGAAGAGCTTTTCCTTATTCACAACACCTAGGAAGAATGGACATATAAAGAGTCAGGTTTCAATGAATGATTATTAGTATGTCAATGTCTCCACAATCCATGAAAGGGAAAACAACATCACCACAATTTTCTGCGTACCTACTATAAAGCTAACAATGTGTTAGATAATTTGACATACATCATTTTACCCTCAACAGTCTTCTAAAGTGGGTGTTATTTTACAATATTAGAAACCAAAGAGAAAAGAGGTTTAGTAGCCTCTCCTTCCAAGTGGTGGAGTATTAATGGAGGCAGACTGTTTCCTAAGCCCATGTTTAAGTCACTGTCATAGCTCCATCTGAGAGCACATCAGACTTACAACAGGACAAAGGAAGAGTATGTGCTGATCTAATGCTCAGATCGATCCTTTGTACAAATACAAAGGAATGTGAGCACATTATACAGACCTGGACTTACATATCATACATAATCGTTGTTAGGAATTGATTTTAATGCCTTTAAACATACCACTTTGTTTGTTTTTTGTTTTTTTTTTGTCTGTGATAGGGTTTGAACTCTGCGCCTGGGCACTGTCCCTGAGCTCTTCAGTTCAAGGTGAGTGCTCTATACTTGAGCCACAGCGCCACTTTCAGTTTTCTGGTGTTTAATTGGAGTTAAGAGTCTCATGGACTCCTGCTCAGGCTGGCTTTGAACCACGATCCTCAGATCTTAGCCTCCTTGAGTAGCTAGGATTACAGGCATGAGCCACTGGTGCCTGGCTTTTGTTCTGGTTATTTTACAGAGTCTGACTCCTGTTCCTAAAAATTTGTCCATTTTAGGCATCCTGTCACTGCTAGGATGACAGGCATGTGCTACCACATCCAGCTTTCCTCCAATGTGTAGAGTTTCACAGATTTTTTTGATTGGGCTCACTTGGAACCATGATCCTACCCAATTTCTGCCTCCTATATTACTTAAGAAGCCAGGTGCACCACAGCCTCCAGCGACAAGTTGAGACAGGGTCTTATGAACTTTTCTGCCTAGGCTATTCTCAAACCATGATCCTACCATTCTTAGCAGCTAGGAATACAGATTGTAAGGCCCTACTGGTGCCCAGCACATTTTAAATGTTGAGTGTTTAGAATGGCTATTTATATGTTTATTCATTCTAAGTAGATTCTTTGTAACTATGTAGCAGTAAATTATTCATTTGTTTAGTTTTCATTAGTTTCGCAACTCTTATCTGGAACCCAGTTGAAGCCTGTAGACTACTTCTGGCAACAAAAGCAGAAGGAACCTAAAAGCACACTAATTCACTCTGACTTTTGGGACACTCACTGACGTATCTTTCTTCAACAAACTTGTATGTCAGCTCCCTATATATTAACACTTCAAACATCCTTAAAAGAACTATTGTCATTAAAAACTATAGTACATAAGACAACCTATCTATACTTTCTGGGGTTGGAGTTAGGTGGGGATATGGGAAGGTGGCAGCACAGAGAAAGTCTCATAATTTGCTCAGAATAAAAGAATATGAAAAAAATAAACATAGACAACAAGTGAAAAAACTTTCTCACTGTTGAATATCCTTTCTAAAAGATATTTTGACAGATTCTTAATAATTTCTGGGGGTTGGGAAGGTGGCTCAGTGGCAGAATGCCTGGGTTCGATTTCTCAGCACCACATAAGCAGAAAAAACTGCAAGTAGCACTGTGGCTTAAGTGGTAGAGCTAGCCTTGAGCTGAAGAGCTGAAGGACAGCACCCAGGCCCAGAGTTCAAGCCCCATCACTGACCAAAAAAAAAATTTTTTTTCTTTCATTTGTAAGTTTCTACTGAATCTTTTTATCTTATATAAAAAGTTACAATTACAGATAAAACACAAAATCACATTTTTCTAGACCTCTGACTTTCAAGAATACATTTATCAGCTTCCTAAGTCATCAAAGGACTTTTGTTTCATTTTAAAAACACTGGATGTGAAAGTCATTCTTAAACGCAATGTTTTAATCTGTTTCTCCATTCTTTTTCAGCCTTATTCTATTTATAGTCACTTTTTTTTTTTTTTTAAATTGTCAGTCCTGGGGTTTGGAGTCAGGGCTTGGGCACTGTCCCTGAGCTTCTTTTGCTCAATCAAGGCAAGCACTCTACTGCTATAACGCCACTTCCAGGTTTATGTTTATGTGGTACTGAGGAATTGAACCCTGGGCTTCATGCATGCTAGGCAAGCACTCTTATCACTAAGCTACATTCCCAGCTTGACACTTTTACTTTTAAAGTTATAAATGCCTTCATTAAAAAAAGGGTTTATTTTTTCCTAACAGAAAATTAAGGCCTCTAAAAGTTTTAAGGATTAGATATGAAAGCTTAATTCTTTATGTCTATTTCTTCACTAACACAAACTTCACACCTTTACCTTGGTGTCTTCTTCGTTTGGATGAAGGCTCATCTCCCTCAGAGTTCATGATGGAACTAGAGAGATGAATCCAGGATGTCTGGGTCAGGTGATCAGGTCTCCAATTATAATACTGATACTGAGTCCTAGACTCAAACAAACAAGGTGGTCTCCATTTTAGTGAAAAATGCCTACTACTCAAGTATGGATATGGAACACGAGAATAATGTCCAGGCCACCTCATACAACTAGAAAAATGTCTGTTCCAGCAACATTTTTGTAGATTCTCCCATGGTGTGGTCCAGTCTCTGCCCACACTCTTCGGGTGATGGGGAAACATGGGGTATCTAAAAGAAATAAATACACATTTTGAGGCACCACTTTTTATTAAGCTATAAGATACAAAATTTTAATCTGTTTCCTTAAGGCAAGAGAGCATCTAATATTTAAAATCTGACTTCTAAATTTGAAAGGTGAAAGAAAAAGTAACCAGTAGTACCAGTACTTTAATACTTTTCCCCTTAAACAGCCAATAGAATGTCACTCTGGTTCTTCAAACCCTACAGAACTCTCAAAAAAGTCCACACTCCAACTGAGAGCTTAATCAGCCATCAAACTTGTACTCAGAGTAGTTTTCTAGCACCACCACCACAAAACTCAATGGAAAAACAAAATCCACAGCAAGTATAATACATCAAATATGGAACACATTTCAGACTACAATTAAAGTGAATCTCTATTCCAACTTGGTTTAGAGTAAAAACATACCTGAATAGTTTTTTTAAAAAAATTTCTGTCAAGGTTAGATTTTTCTAAATACATGTAAGCTAAGACACCAAACTACTTCCTCGTGTGGAAATTTTATTTTTCCGTAATTTATTTTACTTATTTATTTTAGACATTCTTCTCTTTGAGGGAAATCAAAGAGAGTAGCGATTATTTACTAGGTCACCAAAACTCTAAACCAAGCAGCATCAATTTAATGTATCATCCAGAAGTTCTACAAAGTAATGTGAAGATTTTTAAGACATAAACTCACTGTAAATACATGTCTTAAGTGTCAATAATGTCTATCAATCACTAAAGGAACTTTGTTAAAATTGCATTTAGTATTTTTTGACTCATATCTTTACTTTAAAGGCATTTTGATTGCATATATGCAGTTCAAATATGTCCTATTAAATAAGCTGTATATTTTTAAAGGGAAGAAATGGGCACTCTAGCCTATTCTGTAACAACTGTAAAAGCCACAGGAATTTAATCATTGGATTCATGTGTTTTTCAATCACAGGCTACGTTATTGAAATATAAAACTTGAACTACAATACTTATTTTCTGTTCACAGTTATTTAGATAGATGCTTTTTCTTTTGTAAGCAGGCTGGCTCCTTTCAGGCTAGAATCTTCAAATTAATTTTCTGGTACTGTTTGGAACCCAGGACTTCAGACACTCTGCTGCTGCTGTTACTACTACTTCTTTTTAAAGTAGTACTGGGACTTGAACTTAGGACCTTAGCCACTCTGCCCTAGACACTATTACTCATTTTAATTCCAGTCTCTTCACAAGTACCTAGCACACAAATAGAACTGAACTGCTCTCAAATCCCAGGCTTGTATGGGAGTGAAAACAAGATCCCATGACTTATGTAACAGACTGGCGTGTTTCCCACGAGTGGTATACCCGCTGGCTTCAGGGGTTATCCGAGTCAACATTTTGATCGGTTGTATCTAGGTCCTATCTTAAAGTTTACTAGGAAAACATACACATCGTTAGTACCCTGAAGCCACGATTCCGCGGGTACCCTGGGAGACAGCACCCCTTTCAATGGAAAGAAAAGAGACACCCAGTAAACAACACGGATAAAACGAGAACTTGGCAATAACCATACAAGCTGGCATACAAGGGACCAAAGTCGAGGCGACACCACCATCACCGCAGCGATCCACAACCCGCGCCTCCCGCCTCCAGGTTCGGCCCGCCGGGACCTACAGCGGGCCGGCGGCCTCCCGCGGAACGCCGCGGCGGCGGCCGCAGCCGGCCGCGACCGCACGCTGGCACGGCGGACTCCAAGGGCCAGTCGCCGAGGCTCGAGCTTTCCAGAAGGGCTGCCGCCGTGCTCGCGCCCGGGCTCCCGAGCGCGTCGGCCCAGCGCAGCGTCCCGCCAGCCGCGGCCCGGGTTTACCTATCCCCCGGATGGTCCCAGGCGCCGCCCGACACCGCCACGGGCCCGACCCTCTGCCTCCTCCTTCCTCCTCCCAGCCCGCCCCGCCCCGGCTTAACCCGGGCCCCCCGCCCCTTCCTCCTCCCTCCGAGCCCCGGCGTAACTGACCGGCCTCTCCCCACCACACAGCGGCCGTAGCCTCTCCTCACGTAGCGCCAAGCTTCCATCTTCCAACTCCGTGTGTTTTCCAGGCCCCGCGATCCACCTCAGCCTCTACAACACCCTCAGAATCATCCGTTCTCCATCCAGCGAAGCCAGACTGCAACGCCTGCTGGGAGATGTAGTCTCGCCGGCCAAGTCTCCATCCTGCCCAGTGAGATTCCAATTCTTTAAACGAGAATCGCGTTTTAGGAGACATGCGCAGGGCGTGCGAAGCAGGAGCAGCCATCTTGGTATTGGGCAAAATTCCTGACATCCGTCTTAAAGAAACAGAAGAAAGAAAGCGGCGCCGGGCGGGTTTCATTTCGAAGACCTGTGGCAGTACATGGGCGACGGCGTCTACGCGGGAGTTAAGAGGAAAAGAATTATTGTATCATGTTTTTATAAGGTACTTGGGAAGCTAGCTATATGATAGATATCCATGCTGAGAAAACGATACACGTTTTTGCAAGTAATTGTGTAAAGACAAAAAACTTTTAGTGTCTGTATGTGTGTCTGGAGTGTTGATCTCAGGAACGACTCTAGAGCCTTGGAAAACAGTAAGTGGAGAAAGAGGTCACAGGAACAATACAGTGGAGAGAGAAGACTGGCAAAGGATCCTAGAAAGCAGGACGGACTGTTCCTTTCATGGGTCCTTTGGGAGCTCAGTTAGTGATTTCCTGAGGCTTTTCCCCCTTGTTCTGACTTTGGAAAATAATTTCTCTCCCGCGCATGGTTGATTTTCCTTATTTTCAGTGGTAGGTTCTATTAATGCTGCAAAGGACACTGAATTACTGACTTCAGAACCACTGCTCCTAGAGGAAGCTTAAAGCTAGATTCCTTCTGGTCACGTTTTTATCAACCAGTCAATACCTAATTGTGTTTTGTGTGTTTCTGTTTAAAATTTTCTTAATGTTAGTTCATCAGTATTGAGCTCAAGGTCAACAAACAATACTATAACCCATACCTAAACAACGTTAACTCAATACATGTATTTCCTCAAAGTTACATCACAACCCTCTCTCACTTAGGAACCCTCGACAGTACTTTTCTTGAGGACCCTTTTTCTTTTGTGTTGGTGGTACTGGGGCATGAACTCAGTCAGGCTTTGTGCTCTCATTTGAACTTCTCTGGTCAAGGCTGGTGCTCTACCACTTGAGCCCTATCTCCACTTCTGATATTCTGCTGGTTAATTAGTCTCTTGGATTTGTCTGCAATGGCTGACTTCAAACCTAGATGGTCAGATCTCAGCCTGCTGTGGTAGGTAGATTACAAGGTATGAATTACCAGCACCTGGCTTGGGGGACCCCCCCTCCTTTCTAAACAGCATTATCAATAAATGAAGTGGCAATAAATAGGCTATAAAGACAGTTGTTTACAGGAGAAGGGCTGAAAAAGAAGGCAGAGTGTCTTCTTCAGCTTCAGCTAGGAACAAGCACATAGGACAACAGAGAAAATCTAAAAATGTCACTCTGCACTTTAAGACTTGATTTTGAGGTTGTAGCTAAATGTCAGTGACCATGCAAATTTGAAAATGTAGACTCCTTAATAGTGAGGATTGTATCTGATTTATACTGCTATATTTTCTAATTGTGCTCACAACTTTGCAGTTTATTAAAGTTGGCTAGCAGTTTCCTGTGTGTCTGTAATGACATAAGTACTTTGTGAGCAAAGGCCATGGCACATTATTTTCATAATTTACCTAGTATTACCAAGGAAAAAAAATTCTTGGCTAAGAATTTTCTTAATTTAAGGCATTAAAGGCAAGATGTGCCCCAAACCTAGCCAATTTGAGTATTATAATTTGAGAGTATATATGAACAGAAAGGTGGAAGGCTCATAGGATAGGGTAGGCTATGTAGGTAGGAGAATAGAGCTTTTATGCCCACTCCTGCCTACTCAGCTATGGAAGCTCTTTGAATCATATTCTTCTTTTTTTAAATGGAGGTTTCATAGGCATGATTTATTAGATCTCTTTCATTAGCAACCAGCTCAACCTTCAGCACTCTCCTCTCACCTGAGGTGTAATGATGAAACTAACAGTTCTAATTTAGAAATCGTGTTTATTCATGCAACCAGATCCTCATTCTTAGGCTATCCAGGAGCCCCAGCAACAAATCAACTCATTAGTATACAAAAAAAGATATTTAGCACTTAAGCAATTCCAATGGTTTAGCAGCTGCTTGACAGGAAACAGGAACAAGGATCAAATACATCTTCATAAATCACAATGTGTGCCTGGAAATGGACAAAGACAAAGTTATACATCAGAATGTTACAACAGTGAAATAGAATGACTCCTAAGGGTCAAATATACTTGGATTTCTATACATACTCTGACCTTCCCAGCTGTGGCATTAGGCAAATATAGTCCTTCTTTGATCAGTTACCTCATCTGTAAAATAACACTGATAATACTTAGTTAGTAAAATATTGTGAACCTAAACAGAACTGTATGTAGACCCTTGTGAAAATAGTACAGAGAAATTAAAAGCAGAAAGCCAGGCACTGGTTCCTCATGCCTGTAATCCTAGCTACTCAGGAGGCTGAGATCTGAGCATCACAGTTCAAAGCCAGCCTGAGCAGGAAAGGTCAGGAGACTAATCTCCTATAAACCAGTCAGAAAACCAGAAGTGGAGTTGTGGCTTAAGTGGTAAAGTGCTTGCTTTTAGCTGAATAGCTGAGGGACAGCTCCCAGGCCTAGAGTTCAAGCCCCATGACCGACCAAAAAAAAAAAAAAATTAAAAGCAGGAGACAAAATGATGAAAAATCAAAATAGTTCAATTTCAATACATAAAGGAAGTATTTCTCAAATGTTTCAAAGAATGCTATTGTAGTATATTTTGAACTATTGACTGATATAAATTTCTGTTCTTCAAGAAACCAAGTATCCTTATTAAATGAGTCTCCCTGGTTATGACTTGCATAACTATACATACATGTTCATAACATTCATCTATAATTATGGGATATACAAATTATTTTTGTCATTTTGCTTTTATAAAATGAGATTTGGTAATATGTAGAGGGAAAGGAAAACTAAAAAAATTAGGGTGAAAATACAATTCCAAGTGTCCCTCAACTCCTACATATGTTCTTGTATTTCATTCTCCATCTCCAAATTCTGGAAAATGTTTCTGTATAGCCTACCGATTCTCTCAACAAAAATATCTCGTTGTCATGGTGACATAGTTCTTTCCCTTGTACAACTCTGTAGTTCTGTGCAGTAGGATTCTAATTCTTCCTGGTTCTAGAATACTTCCTTTTGTTTTTCAAACTGTTTCTAATTCTTTCAGCCAGCCTAATATTACATCTGGTCTTGCTAATGACTTAGCAAATTAAAGCCTCAAGTTGGAAGGAGAATTTAATTAAAGGTCTTACAATAGTAAGATATCAATAAAGCAAATAAAGTCCTTTATGAGTATATGTTCTGCGGTAATTCCTTGATGAAAACAAGGTGAACTCCACTACATCCAGACGTTGGTTGAAGTCTTGCAAACTTCTTTTTTTATTTTGGCCTGGGCTGGCTATGAACCACGACCCTCTGATGTCTGCTTCCCAAGTAGGTAGGATTACAGGTTTCAGCCACTATGCCTGGCTGGTTTAATATATTTGAAATAGGCCATTTAAAAATTATTGTAAGGCCATTCTGTTAATTCCCCCCCCACCCCCCGCTTATGAGCCATATGTTCTTTAAAAAAATTTTTTTTTGCCAGTCGTGGGGCTTGAACTCTGGGCCTGGGTGGCTAGCACTCTTCCACTTGAGCCACAGCACCACTTCTGGCTTTTTTTTTGCTTATGTGGTACTGAGGAATCAAACCCAGGGCCTCATGCATGCAAGGCAAGCATCTACCACTGAGCCACCTTCCCAGCCCCCATGAGCCATATTTTCTTGTGTGTATGTGTTTTTTGGTACTTGGGATTAAATCCAGGCTTTCATGCTTGTTAGACAAGTACTCTCCACTTCATAAGAAATTCCTGCTGTGCACAGGTTGGCCTTAAATTCTCAATTTTAATGTCTCTGTGTCCTGAGTAGGTGGTATAGTGTACCACTAAGCCCAACTTATTTCTTGGAGATGTGTATGTGTATGTTTATACATTACAAATATGCTTGTACACACATATATGTATGTATTATACACATATAGACACATATATATGTGCCTCATAACTTTTTTGCTGGGAAATAACAATTTTTTTAATTTAATTTTTTTTGTGAACATACTGTACAGAGGGGTTACAATTACATGGGCAGGATAATGCGTACATTTCTTATCAAGCATTGCAGCCTCTTCCTTTGTTTACCCTTCACATCCCTTCCCAGCCT